GGGACAAGGACATCTTCTGCATACCTGGTCCCCAAGGGGATGTAGGGGTTTGTGAGGAGCCTTCCTTAACCAGATCATGCCTCTCAACATTGGGGGTACCTGGCAACGGGAAGGGGGGAGTCCAGCCTCCACCTCTTGCAGGGCAACTTGTCCCAGTGTTAAGGGAAAAGGGCCTCTTGCCCACATTTGTTCCACAGATGCTTGTGGAAGTTTATAAGAATCTGGAAGCCCACATTATATGTCGTTGGTCATATTTGCTAATGAAGTCCCCCCATATTCTTGACTGTTTGCTGACACTCTAGCAATGATGGGGATTCTGTCATGTGCTGAAGTATCAGTGGGAAAACACTTTCAGATAGCGGTCCATCATGGTGGTAGGGAACATCATAGAGCGGTGGGTCGCAATGACTGACAATGGATTTACATCACTGGATGATGTGACTGATGATGAATTTACATTGGGGGAACATTGTTTACAATTTCAGTGTCTTTTTTTCTATTTACTGTTGAAATTTTTTGGAATGAATCAAAGGGTTACATTAGTACCCTATACTCATTATTTTGGGAGCGGGTGGATATTAGGAGGCCCCCTTTTTCTAAAGCAGGCATTCAGACTTTCATAGGTTTCCCCTCACAAACACCCATAACCTTCTAGGCACCCCATGTGGGCAAGAGGGCCTTGTCCCTCAACAATGAGATAATATGCCTTCTAAGGGGGCAGGATTTGCTGCCTTGCTCTCTTGCAAGGTACCCCTACAGTTAAAAGGCATGTGGCCTATTATGGGACCAGAAAGGTGAGCTTTATGCTCACTGCCTTATCTGGCCATCCAAGTTACATTCCTGGATAAGGGTCTTGTAGAATTTTAGGTGGAACCCCATGCTGTTTTTTTTTCTTTTTATTGAGTACATTCTGGGTGGCCAGGAAAGAGAGGCCAGAAAGCATGCTCCCCCACCCTGCCTTCCTGTACTTTACAAGGACACATGCCTTTCAACAATGGAGGGGTACTTTGTGGTAAAGCATCCCTCTCTTGCAAGGGACCTTGTCCCCAAATTGAGACAGGGTCCTCTTCCTCACGATTTTTACTAATTTTCCCCAAAAATCAATGTATATAAATACACAGACACCATGAAAAAGTATTTTATAAAAAAAAAAAGGCAAGCAATGCCCCTTCTTGTAAATTCATCGGCGATCACATGGTCCAACGTAGTAAATCCTCCATGAATCATGTCAACCTGTTGATGATGTTTCTTTGCCACCACGATGATGTGCCACTACTCCTGTTGCAAATGACAATATCCCCAGCACTGCTAGAATGTCAGCTTCCCCAGCCAGGGATCCTGGGTGACATCATTAACCATACATGATCACAACCATATTTGGTTAAGGATTTTGCCCGTTATCCCCACGTGTTTAATTATATTCCAGCAGCTGGTGATTCGGGTATGTGGGTAGGGAATTTGCCCCAGAGCTTGATGAATGTTTTGAAGTTTCACTTTGCCAAGAATACCCAATCGCATGCAAGAAACATAATAAAAACCCAATGTTTTTGCTTGCACATGATTGGATGATAGAAGTCAGCATAACTTCACCTTATTCGCTAAGCTCTGGGGCAAATTCCCTTGCAAAGCGAACAGTCTCTGATCTTGATTTTAGTAAATCAAAAGTAAAAAAAAAAAGGTTATTAAATCAAAGACCATTTAATACAATAAGACCCATCATCTACCTAAAGCTCTACGTAAAATGTCAGCGCTATATTGTGTAATTATCTGTAATAAATAAATAAAATCTATCAATCAATTGTTTATCTTTACATCTATGGTCATCATTAGACCCAAGCAGTCCAGGAAATTAGATGCCATTTGTTATAAAACCCATGGTCACGTGCCGACCAGTAGCAGCAACAATAATTAGGAAGAAGGCAAATCACACAGGCCCTAACCCTTCCTTATTATATTATTTCAGACTATGAATCAGTAGGTCTCTTTTTTAACATTTAATTAATATCGTAAAGGTTCTTTAAAAATTAGGAAGAATTCAAGTATATTAGCTGATATTTTGATATTTGTCCTTTCCGTAAGAAAGAATCCCAATAAGCTCTTCTCTGTGTAAGCAACATAATTAGTCAATTAGGCAGAGTGGCACGGTGGATGTATAATTGTTTATTTCTTTATTTATTAATTCTCTCGGCTTTTTCTCATTTTCACAGAAAACCAGAACATTTAACAGGTATCTGCTGATTCATTTCACCCTTGAGTCTTGCTGAATCTACCGGCAACCTATCTCACTGCCCAGCCAGGAGACAACTGTATTTTGGGATTAAACTACACTTTTTAATGTCCGTGGAAAAGCCCACTTTTTTCTGAACTTATGGCAAATATTGGCTTGGACGGAAGAAACCTTGGGGAAGACGTTCAGAAACTGCACATTCATTTTTTATTTATCTGAAAGTGGCACTGGAAGGGTTTTCAAAGTGAGTCTAAAGTAATTAGGAGCTCTAACTGATGGATTGCACTAGAGGGACCTGTGGATTATTTATCACAAAGTCACTTGCTGGAAAGGTTAGAGGCTGAAAAGTAATTATTTTTTTTTCATTTTTTTTTCTTTAAAGTCAAGAAATTGGCTAGGGAAAACTCTTAAGCTGCCCCATGAAATGCTCTCTTTAACTTTTCTCTTGGTTTAGACAAATCAATACATCCAGTGAAACGGCATTGGAGGCACTCGGTGTACGTCATAGATATTGCCATGGTAACCGTTCTGTGATGCTAGTTACTCCATCTTGGTAGTTGTTGTACATGTGATATTTAGAGTGGCCGTACTGATGTGGAAATGTTTGATTTCCACAATACATTATTATTATTATTACATCGAGTTTATATAGCGCCAAAGGGTTTGCTCAGCGCTGTACAATAGAGGGGGGGACAATACATGAAACAGTACAGCAACAACAAACAGCACACGAGGGGTTAGAGGGCCCTACTCTTTTGAGCTTACAATCTGGGGGTAGTGGTACAGGAGGAAGTGGCTGTGGGGGATGGAGTGGTAGGAGGAATGAAGGAGAGCGGCTGTTAGGTGAGGGTGGGGTAGGCTTCTCTGAAGAGGTGGGTTTTCAGGGAGCGCCTGTAGGTGAGGAGGGAAGGTGACAGTCTGATGGATTGGGGTAGTGAGTTCCAGAGGATGGGGGAGGACCTGGAGAAGTCTTGCAATCGTGCATGGGAGGAGGAGACCAGGGAGCTAGATAGAAGGAGGTCCTGTGAAGAGCGAAGGGTACGGGTAGGGTGGTACTTGGGAATCAGGTTGGTGAGGTAGTTAGGGGCAGTGTTGTGAATGGCTTTGTAGGACAGAGTGAGTAGTTTGAATTTGATGCGTTGGGCAATAGGGAGCCAGTGCAATATAAATGCATTACTGTTTTTGACTGCAACTTGATAGACTTGGTTTTGCGCTACCATTTGCGGCAGAAATGTTGAAAGTTTTGTGGAGTATTGCTTCTCCAGAGCCAGTTAACATGCAGTTCAGAGGTGATATGTCACCTCCTGAACACACTTATCAACCCATGAAAGCCTGCTGCAATATTTTACAACCATGTGCAATACATATAGGGGCATTGCAGTTGCAGAGTGGCCACATTTACTTGAATAGGTTGCATTTGGCAGCAGTACTGCCTATCAAACATGATCTGTTTTATAAATTTTGTTGCGCCACACTTCAACTGCGACAGTGCGTACTAACATGGTCAGTGGCCATGTAAACTTGTGGCTGGGTAGTCTGAGGGGGGGTAATTTTTGGCTCAATTGTCTATTTTTTTCACCCCCTGACTGCCTATGTAAACATAGCTAATTAGAATTACTAATTTACCCTTCATTTTGTCTGCAAATAGTGCTGACTGTCACTATTCTGTCACTGTTCACAGTATTGCAGTTCAATGATGGTCTCATCATTGAGTTTTTGCTCCTTCATTGTCCAATCGCTAAACTTGGGGTGTTAGCTGACCCAGTGTTATTTATCAAAGCATGCTGATCCTGCAGTGAAGACCATGGATATGACTGTGCTGGGGTACCTAGAATTAAAATTAACTGCATAGAAATGGAAATCCTTCAGTGGGCAATGCATAGGTGTATATTAATTGTGTATTTAGCTACTTTGATGGAGTGTGCACTGACATCTGGGGTATTAGGAAGAGAGGTTTGGAGCTGAAAGGAGTAAAGTTGAAAAGGCTCCTGCATTTGCCATCTACTTAAAGGAGAAGTAGGGCCAAAACTCTTTTGGCCCTTCTACTTCTGGGAGTGCACTTTGTTCTAAAGCCCGTTTTCGGCTGAGCCAGTCCAGGCTCTGCAGAGATGCCAATGTTAAAGTCGGGATCCACCCAGATTCCTGGCCTGCAGCTAGCTCAGCCTCTCAGCATGTCGCTGAGAGCCTGAGCCAGCCACTTCTGCCCTCTCCATAGCGAAGTGCTCCATTAAGGGGCAGAGCAGAGAACTGGTGACTGACAGTCACTGACTCTCTGCTCAGTTAAGACAAAGAACTGAGTGATCAGCAATCTTTGATAGCTTAGTTCTTGGTCTTATAGGCTGTGGGGGACAGATGAGGCATTGGATAAATGCTGCATCCACCTAGGTGAGTATAAATGTTTGTTTTTTTTCATATCCCGCACTTCTCTTTTAAGCTGGTCAGAGGCAGTTTGAATTTCAGCTGATTCATGCTGAATCTGCCAAAATTTGAGCCATTGGTGGCACTAAAAGCATCACCAGGCTCAACAAAAGTTGATTTATAAAATGACTGTGCTGGGTTGTGAATTACCAGCAAAACAGTGAGTGCTTAGATGCTATCATCTAGGCTTTTGGCATGGATGGGGGAACCGACTGATTCTTCTCTCATTCAGCCCATGGGCTACACAAGAGAAAATTGAGTATGGTGGGCTGAAGCTGGTCATACATGGATTGAAATTCAGCCCATGCAGCAGGGACCTGCCGAATATCAATCCATACATGGGCAGGGCACAGAACTCAATCTATTGATTGATGTTTGTACAACTGCTCTGTCGGATTTTCCCTGCTCAATCAGTGCTGAAGGCTATGGCCTGCAACCAGGAGCGGACTGACCAGGGGCGGACTGACAACTCATGGGGCCTCCGGGCAATAGGGGATCATGGGGCCCCTGTGTCCTTGTCCAAACTCAAAAAAGCCTATGAAAAAAGTACCAGGGGCATCTCATGGGGCCCCCTACTGACCCCGGGCCCTCGGTCAGTGCCTGAGTTTCCAAATGGTCAGTCAGCCCCTGGGACTGACCATTTGGGAACTCGGGCACTGCCCTCGGGCCCGGGGTCAGTAGGGGGCCCCATGAGATGCCCCTAGTACCTTTCATAGGCTTTTTTGGGTGTGATTTGAGTGTGGGCAAGGACACAGGGGCCCCATGATCCCTTATTGCCCGGGGGCCCCATGAGTTGTCAGTCCACCCCTGCCTGCAATGCTGATCAGTGTATTCTGACAGAGAGGAAGTTTTCCTGCTGTCAGAATACAATAGCTCAGTTGGGAGAATGAAAAAATCTTGACTCATCTATGGGCTGCTTTACCTTAATCACTTACACTGGGTGGCGGGTAAAGACGAAGTGATGATTTATAGAGTGTGATCCTGCTGGAATGTTGCGTAGAGTACCCAGAAATGCTCCATAAAAGAAGAATGGAAAAGGGGCCTAACATGAGAGTCATCATTGGCCTGCCTGAAACTTTTTAACACTCTGTTTAAAGTTTGTTCTTTTTCATCTTGAACAGGCCCATGATGACTCTCATGGGGGCTCCTCTGTTTTTCCTTTTGTGGAGCAGTTCTGACTACTCTACACAACATTCCAGCAGCATCATACATAGGGCCCTAAACATGAGTAGCACTCAGCACAGCTGTCAGCCCTGCCCATAAATGTTGACAGGCTGCAAGCAGAGGGGCTGGATATTGCACCTGTGTCTCCTGGGCACCCTAAATCACCAGGAGGCATGGACAGCAGCCAAATGCCTCAATGTGCAAGTGGCCTATTAAGTATTTTAGCAAACAATATTGCTGATTTGTAACCACCCTATAGTGCTTTAACCTATCTGCATTCAAATTCAAATACATTTTCCTATCTTTGAGGAGCCCCTGGATCCTTGCCTAGGGTGTACCCAGGACTTTGACTTTTGTCACTAAGCCCCACCACCATCATTTAATAGTTCAATGCCAGAACCTCTACTGGACAATGAGGTTCTGATGACTGTTAGGGCCCTTTCACACAGGCATTCCAATCAAGTCCTCCTGTCAGTTTTTTCAGGCAGCCCTATGGACAGGCAGTTGTAAACAGACTTGCCTACCTCTGAGTTCATCCGGGTCTTAAAAAAAAAACAAAAACAGAAATGGACTATTTTTCCAGGCCTGAATATGATGGATTGGAGGTAACCTGTCAGATGAAAATGGGTCACAGGAGTGCAGAACAAACTGCACTCCTGTGTTCCATAGGAGACGTACAGCCAAAATAACTTTGGCTATACTTCTCCTTTAAAACCTTTTGCACAATAGCAATTACTCTGACAGAGAGAGAGGGGCAACACTAGGAGCCAATCAGGTGTGCCACAGTAATATGTTTTTGAAAGAAACATTCTAGCAGGCATTAGAGATGAGAGAGATGACCTCATCAGTCTGCCACTGCTCTCTCACGGGCTGTTAGGTAGGGAGGTGATCTAGCTGTATGGCTTAACTGTAGCGGAAAAAAATCAGGTCTTCGGGCCTTGTTCTGTGGACAAGACTGTTTATATCTCTTCACTGGATGGACAGAAATACTAATCCTTTGACAGATAACACAGTCCCTTAAATGGATATAGTACCCTCCTCTAGTTAGGTTGTTAGGCTAAATTTCGTTTTTGGCCCCACTTCCTGAGGATTTGATTTCTCATACCTGCTTCTGGGAGAAGCTTCCAGAAAATAGGGCAAAGAGATTCAGATATCCATTGATGAATATTTATCATGCTTCAACCAATCCTTGGAAGGAGGCATCCAGAAGGTGTCTAGAAAGGCGATACATGTTTGGGAGGCCTTTCTAGAATGTTCTTCCTCTGCAGCCAGAGTGTGCTGAAGAATTGCAGTCTGGACCACGAGTGCTGGGCTGAGGGCCTGGAGAAGATTACTAATGTATTTTTGCTGGAGGGCACTGTCCTGAAGTGCTGATCTGGAGAAGGATCTTTCATATCCCTTATTGAGGATCTACCTGTGATGCCCTGCAGGTTAGCTAGATAGGATTTTTGTTATATAAAGGCTGAGTAGCAGCCTGGGATGAGTCAGCCTGGGATTGATGCAGGAGTTCACGTCAGGACAGGCTGGGGAGGTTCTCCAGGTCAGGGCTTCTGGAGCCCTCCCACCTTTCCAGAAATGTAAAGAACTTTCTGGAACAGTGGTGGAGGAGGGGAGGAGGCCCATGTCTGCATGTTTGAGAGACCTTGGTGAATCCCCTGGCAGGAGGCTGGGCATGGTGACCAAGGACAACCATTAAATATGACAGAACCTGGGGAGCAGTGTGCAGTGTCGGGTGGAACATGGATTGAGAGGAAGGCTGGAATGTGGAGCCTTGAAGGGGGCCCTAGGGAAGGGAGCCTACCTACAGGCAGGTCACTGGAAGGGAGGATCTCTGCTGTCCCACAGTCTCCTGGGGAGGGCAACCTGTGCAGCAGGGAAGGAGTCAGCCCAGTGTAAGGCCTGAAGGCAACCACCAACCCACAATGCTAACAGTACAGGACAGTGTAAGTACTCCTATACCCCCTGGGCCAGATAAGGGGAGAGGTTTGTCAGGTGCAAGACTCAACTAGCTTCTCATCTGGGACCCCTTGCTCAGGGATACCCTCAGGGCAGCTGGGTGAAAAGGAGGATTTATCCTCAAGATTTACAGTTCTTTGGGCATCCCATATACCCCTAGACCCCTTCCAAGTTGTTAAAACCTCAATAGAAACAAATAAAACCAGCTCAAGCCTAAGGGGTTAGTGCACATACACTTAATGGTATTACAGTCTTAGTCCGTAGGGTTCAATATTGAGTTGGTCCACCCCTTGCAGCTATAACAGCTTCAATTCTTCTGGGAAGGCTGTCCACAAGGTTTAGGAGTGTGTCTATGGGAATATTTGACCATTCCTCCAGAAGCACATTTGTGCGGTCAGGCACTGATGTCGGATGAGAAGGCCTGGCTTGCAGTCCCCGCTCCAATTCATCCCAAAGGTGTTCTTTCAGGTTGAGGTCAGGACTCTGTGCAGGCCAGTCAAGTTCCTCCACTCCAAACTGGCTCATCCATGTCTTTATGGACCTTTCTTTGTGCACTGGTGCGCAGTCATGTTGGAACAGGAAAGGGATATCCCCAAACTGTTCCTAAAACGTTGCAAGCATGAAATTGTCCAATATGTCTTGGTATGCTGACACCTTAATATTTCCCTTCACTGGAACTAAGGGGCCAAGAACAACCCTTGAAAAACAACCCCACACCATAATCCCCCCTCCACCAAATTTTACATTTGGCACAATGCAGTCAGGCAAGTACCGTTCTCCTGGCAACCGCCAAACCCAGACATGTCCATCGGATTTATAGACAGAGAAGCGTGATTGGTCACTCTAGAGAACACATCTCCACTGCTCTAAAGTCCTGTGGTGGCGTGCTTTACACCACTGCATCCGACACTTTGCATTGCACTCTGCACACTGTTGTGATAATTTGAAGGCACACGAGGTTTGGAGGTTTTTAGCTATTGACTCTGCAGACAGTTGGCAACTTCTGCACACTGTATGATTCAGCATGCACTGTTATTTTTTATGGCTGTTGTTCCCAGTTGCCTCCACTTTGTTATAATACCACTAACAGTTGACCGTGGCATATTTACTAGCAAAGAAATTTCATGGATGGACATATTGCACAGGTAGCAACCTATCATGGGACCACGCTTGAATTCACTGAGTTCCTGAGAGCGACCCATTCTTTCACAAATGTTTGTAGAAGCAGTCTGCATGCCTATGTGCTTGACTCTGTACACCTGTGGCCATGAAGGTGATTGGAACACCTGAATCCAATGATTTGGAAGTGTGTCTCAATACTTTTGGCAATATAGTGTACCTGTGGAAGATGGGTGGCAGTCAGCTCCTGGGACATTGTGAGTAATTCCTATTGTGGGACTTTCATGTGTGTCTACAGCTATGAGGATTTGTGATAGAAGTTTGTCGTCTTATTGATCGTTTTGGAGTATCCTGAACCCCTGAACTCCTGTTCTTTTTCTAGTTACTTAGCAATAAATTCTAAAAAGACATCCCCGAGACTGAGCCTGTGTTGTTGGTGCGCAAAAACCTGAGCTTGCGACTGGCAGCCTCTGTACAAGCAAGGGAGACCCGGGCAAATTCTCAGTGGCTCCTCCAGGGGTGAGTTCTACTTTCACTTGTGTATCTGAAGTTTAGTTTTAAAGCTGAACTCCAGCCAAAAAAAAGGTTCACTTGTAAATCCAAATATTACCTTGTAAAAGTAGTAGTGACATCGCCACTGCACTGTACATACCTATATGGAAGAAAAAATATATTTGAATATATATTTTTAAAATATTCTTTCTAAATATATATATATTTGGAAAAAGTATGTGAACCCCTTGGGATTACGTGGAGTTTTGCATGAATTGGGCATAAAATGTGCTCTGAACGTCATCTAAGTCACAACAATAGAAGAACACAGTCTGCTGAACATAATACTACACAAACATTAGATGTTGCCATGGTTTAATTGCACATAACATGTAAACATTCACAGTGCAGGGAGGAAAAAGTATGTGAGGCTCTAGCTTAATGACTTCTCGCAGAGCTAATTGGAGCCAGGAGTGAGCCAACCTTGACTCCAATCAGTGTGATGATATTGGATGTGTTGCTGACAGCTGTCCTGCCCTTAAAAAACACACACCTGTTTTGGGTTTACTGGTTTCAAGAAGCACTGTCTGATGTGAACCATGCCTCGCAGAAAAGAGCTCTCAGAAGACCTACGATCAAGAATTGTTGACTTGCATGATGCTGGAAAGGGTTACAAAAGTATCTCCAAAAGCCTTGATGTTCATGTGTCCACGGTAAGACAGACTGTCTACAAATGGAGAAAGTTTAGCACTGTTGCTACTCTCCCTAGGCGTGGTCGTCCTTAAAAATGACTGCAAGAGCACAGCGCAGAATGCTGCATGAGGTAAAGAAGAATCCCAGAGTGTCAGCTAAAGACCTACAGAAATCTCTGGCACATGCTAACATTTTGTTGACACATCTACAATAAGGAAAACATTAAACAAGAATGGAGTACTTGGGAGGACATCACGGAGGAAGCCATTGCTGTCCAAAAAGAATATTGCAGCATGTTTGAAGTTTGCAAAAGAGCACCTAGATGTTCCACAGCCCTACTGGCAAAATATACTGTGGACAGATGAAACCAAGATTGAGATGTTTGGGAAGAACACACAACACTATGTGTGGAGAAAAAAAGGCACAGCACACCAACATCAAAACCTCATCCCCACTGTAAAACATGGCGGAGGGAGCATCATGGTTTGGGGCTGCTTTGCTGCCTCAGGGCCTGGACGGATTGTTGTTATTGATGGGAAAATGAATTCCAGAGTTTATCAAGACATTTTGCAGGAAAACGTACGACCATCTGTCTGCCAACTGAAGCTCCGCAGAGGATGGGTGATGCAACAGGACAATGACCCAAAGCATACAAGTAATTCAACAAAACAATGGCTGCAACAGCACAGAATACGCCTTCTGGAGTGGCCCAGTCAGAGTCCTGACCTCAACCCGATTGAAATGCTGTGGCATGACCTTTAAGAGAGCGATTCACACCAGACATCCCAAGAATATTGCTACACTGAAACAGTTTTGTGAAGAGGAGTGGTCCAAAATTACTCCAGATCGTTGTGCAGGTCTGATCTGCAACTACAGGAAACGTTTGGTTGAGGTTATTGCTGCCAAAGGAGGGTCAACCAGTTATTAAGTCCAAAGGTTCACATACTTTTTTCCTCCCTGCACTGTGCATGTTTACATGTTATGTGCAATTAAACCATGGCAACATCTAATGTTTGTGTAGTATTATGTTCAGCAGACTGTGTTCTTCTATTGTTGTGACTTAGATGATGTTCAGAGCACATTTTATGCCCAATTCATGCAAAACTCCACGTAATCCAAAGAGGTTCACATACTTTTTCTTGCAACTGTATACAGTGAGGAACAGAAGTATTTGAACACCCTCCGATTTGCAAGTTCTCCCACTTAGAAATCATTGAGGGGTCTGAAATTCACATTGTAGGTGCACTCCCAGTCTGAGAGACAGAATTTAAAAAAAATTCAGGAAATCACATTGTATGATTTTTAAAGAATTTGTTTGTCTTGCACTGCTGAACATAAGTATTTGAACACCTGAGAAATTCAGTGTTAATATTTGGTACAGAAACTTTTGTTTGCAATTACAGAGGTCAAACGTTTCCTGTAGTTCTTGACCAGGTTTGCACACACTGCAACAGGGATTTTGGCCCACTCCTCCACACAGATCTCCTCTAGATCTGTCAGGTTTCGGGGCTGTCGCTGAGCAACACAGAGTTTCAGCTCCCTCCAAAGATGTTCTATTGGATTTAGGTCTGGAGACTGGCTAGGCCACTCCAGAACCTTGATATGCTTCTTACGGAGCCACTCCTTGGTTATCCTGGCTGTGTGCTTCGAGTCGTTGTCATGTTGGAAGACCCAGCCACGACCCATCTTCAATGCTCTGGCTGAGGGAAGGAGGTTGTTGCTCAAAATTTCACAATAAATGGCCCCATTCATCCTGCCCTTAATACAGTGCAGTCGTCCTGTCCCCTTTGCAGAAAAGCACCCCCAAAGCATGATGTTACCACCCCCATGCTTCACAGTAGGGATGGTGTTCTTGGGATGCAACTCATCCTTCTTTTTCCTCCAAACACGACGAGTGAAGTTTAGACCAAAAAGTTCTACTTTGGTCTCATCTGACCACATGACTTTCTCCCATGCCTCCTCTGGATCATCCAGATGGTCATTGGCAAACTTCAGACAGGCCTGGACATGTGATGACTTGAGCAGGGGAACCTTCCGTGCAATGCATGATTTGAAACCATGACGGCGTAGTGTTCTACCGACAGTGACCTTTGAAACTGTGGTCCCAGCTCTCTTCATGTCATTGACCAGCTCCTCCCATGTAGTTCTGGGCTGATTCCTCACCTTTCTTATCATCAGTGATACCCCACGAGGTGAAATCTTGCATGGAGCCCCAGTCCGAGGGAGACTGACAGTCGTCTTTAGCCTCTTCCATTTTCTAACAATTGCTCCAACAGTTGATCTCTTTTTACCAAGCTGCTTGGCAATTGTCCCGTAGCCCTTTCCAGCCTTGTGGAGGTCCACAATTTTGTCTCTGGTGTCTTTTGACAGCTCTTTGGTCTTGCCCATGGTAGTAGTTGGTGTCTGACTGACTGTGGGGTGGACAGGTGTCTTTAAAGAGCTCAGACAGGTGCTACTAAGTCAGATTAATGAGTGGAGTAGAGGTGGACTTTTTAAAGGCACAATAACAGGTCTTTGAGAGCCAGAATTCTTGCTGTTTCTTAGGTGTTCAAATACTTATGTTCAGCAGTGCAAGACAAATAAATTCTTTACAAATCATACAATGTGATTTCCTGAAATTTTTTTAAAATTCTGTCTCTCAGAGTGGGAATGCACCTACAATGTGAATTTCAGACCCCTCCATGATTTCTAAGTGGGAGAACTTGCAAAATTGCAGGGTGTTCAAATACTTCTGTTCCTCACTGTATATGTATATACTGTATGTCGAAATGCGTTTTTATTACAAAATATATGAAAAATATATATTTTTAAAATATATTCTTCAGATTTTTTTTAACATATAAAAAAGTAATTTTAATTTATATTTTTACTTATATTTGTAAATGCATTACTAAAATGTAGATTTGTATTTTTAAAGACATACAGGATATTTGAAATGTATTTTTTTAAATACTTTTCATATATTGTGTAATAAAAATGCATTTCAACATACACTGTATATATATATATGTATATATATATATACATATTGAAATATATTGAATATGGCCAAAATTGTAGTATTTCAAATATATGTCAATATATTTGGGAAGAATATTTTTAAAAATATTTCAAATATATTTTTCTTCCATGTGAGTATTCTGTCCTAGGGCTGTGGTATGGGCCCGGAAGGCTCCGCCTACTACAGGCTGCCTGCAGAAAACGACAGAAGGGGGAGGAGACAAGACCAATCATCAAGAGAAAGAGCATCAGTGAGCTGTAAAGGGAAGCCAACATTTTAAACTGAATTACGGCACAGATCTGTAAGAAATACACACCAAGATTCAAGGAAAAATACACAATTCTTGTATTTAGACAACATTTTCTTATCCCAGGGTTCAGCTTACGCAAATCTTTTTATTTTCCATTATTTGTGTTACTAACTGCTGTACTTCAATTGTGGGCTATGAGAAGCTGACCCAGATTTCCCATGGTTTGATTTTGTCAAGGGCTCCATGCTTGTTCAATATAGCATTGCATAGAATTATACTTGGCCACTGCGAGGGAGGATTGTATAATTTTCTCTATAATGTGTCCTGTAGGTGGCGCTGTTCCCTTGGACTTAATCTATGTGCTTTATTTTATCATGCAATATGAAGGCTTTCATTGATATTAATATATGCAAATAGGAAGAGATATAAGTTTCCCTGTGTAAAATAGCATATGCCATATGTTTTATTGAACATAGGGCCACCAAATGGGGGTTAGAACCTATTCATCGAGTATAATAGGAAGATGGAAGTCTCAGTCCTGCCTCCCTAAGCAGCTTTGATCTGTGAATCCATCTGTAGCTCTGCCTTTTTGTACAAATTGTGCGTCTTTTGGCATAAAAGACAAATGTTTTCTTCTTCCTCTTTTCAAACCAGTTACCCAATAATAGCATCATACAATCTGTTAAGTATCCCTAGATTGTGGGGGTGTATTTCATCCTTAATGAGCAATGAAAATATTATTTTCCTGATAAATTGGTAATTACTGCAAGACTGTACCAGTAAATACCGGGTGGCATATGGTTTATCTATCTGTATCATTTTATTTACATCACAACAATCCTATACGCAGCTCCAGTAAGCGGTACAAGTAGCTCTTACCGCTGAGCTGCATTATGTCACACTAAATATCATTAATGCAATGGAAGGAATACATGGAAGCTATAGGCTGTATTTATGGTGTGGAGTGAAAGTAAAGCTGATAAAAAAAGCTGTCTAAAATATGCTGTTTTGGGGAGTTTTTCTGATACTTTGTGATTTTGGTGCTGGACTGCTTGCTATCGGTGCAGAGGCTGGCAAGGCATAGACAAGGTGAGTATATAGAAGAGTAGGGAGCCAGGGGTAGGGCTTAGTACAGGGCCTAGTGTTAGGCTCACATTGGGGGTTAGGTTAAAGAAGATGTAAACTCAACTACTAAAATACCCAGGTTACCTTTTTCCTGTGGCGGTGGTGGGCAGGTCCTCTATAGTGTAGAGAACAGCGTCACATGATCATCAGTCTCCCATAAGCACATGATGACTTGATGACCCGCCCCTAAAGAGCACCTCCATGACACCCTGTGCTTCATACGTCACAGGACTGCACACACCGTAAAGTGGTTGTAAACCTTTACATTTGCCCAGTGAAAAGACTAAAGGATATACAGATATTAAACAAATCCTCCTTTATAAGTTGTATTTGGTTATCTGCAGCTCTAAAGCCCTTTAAAGTCAAGAATTTTCACAGCATTTCTGAGCTTCCAGGGAACAGGAATCTGCTGTCACACACTGCACAGCTCACAGAGGAGAGCTCAGTGTAATCTGAGATCTGAGTGGAGCGAAAAGGACCCCCCCCCCCACACACACACACACACACACAATCTCATAGGGAAACAGGCACAGTCGAGGCTGTCAATCACAGGCTGTGTGTTGGAACTCCCACTCCCCTACCCCCTCAATCTCTTGGAGTCACACAACCATCTACCCCCTCTTCTCTGCCTCTGGAACCTCATCTGAATGAAGTCCCTATGTATCCATGCCTGCTAACTACTTACCTCTTGTGAGTTGTGTGCAATAAATGATTGTCAAATACTGCAATTAGTCTGGTGCCCTTCTGTCTCCTTTTATCTTCCACTACAGAGTCCAGCTTAACTCTATAGGGTGCTGCCTCATGACTGTGCTATTCAAATAGCTGAATACTTCCCTACTACCTATGGGACTGTAATATTTAACCCCGTCTCTCCAGCGCCAATATATTACCTATTGTTACACACAAACACACACACTCTCATAGGGAAACAGGCACAGCCGAGGCTGTCAATCACAGACTGTGTGTTGGAGCTCCCATTCCCCTACCTCCTCAATCTCTTGGAGTCACACAATGAGGTACCAGATAGATATCAAGCTTGGTGTTTTGGATTGAGGCAAATACACACCATGATGCGATTTGTTCATTTTTCATGTGTGGTTTACAACCACTTTCATTAATGTGTATGTAAACCCTAACAATTAACATGTTTTATTTGCTCCCCTTTGCTCCAATATATATATACCAATAAAAACATGTTGTGATATCTGAACTGAGGCTGTCAATCACAGGCCAGAGATCTGTGGTATGTCCTGCTATACCTGAAACCCCCGGGCCTTACTAAATACCAATTTAAACTGGCAACTTATGTACTACTGATAGCAAAACAAACTGTAGCAAAAGCTTGGAAACAACAGTTCACACCTTTTACAGAAGTCAGCCACCGATTGGATTTATTTTTCACCAATGAAAAGCTTTCCAGTATCCTTCTAGATACACATTAGAAATTTCTCAAAATATGGAACCCTTGGATCAAACATGCCCATCCAACTCATCCATGTCAATAGGCAGTTACGCATTACTATACACTTCGAGACCCGGGCCCAGGCTTGAGCGCCTTAATGTCTTACCCCACTTCTCTCCCTTTCTTTCTTTTTTTTTATTTTCTAGGCTCTTTCATAGAGATGATTTGTGTTTTGTCCTTATGGACTTTTTTTGTTTTGTTTTCTGAATAGTGCATTTTTATACATTAATAGCCCACGCGCCAAAGCTCTATTCCTCAATTTGGGCATATGGCTTTTCTGTTGTTACTTATGCTGTTCTTCCTTTGATGCAGCATAGTCAATGGACTATTCTGATGCACCACAAGCTTTATTTTTGTTACGGTTTTTGTATATTATGTATTACCGTCTCGGCTTGTAAGCTATGTGTCTGTCTGTAAATATGACAGAGGTTACATTGTATACTTGGAAAATTTTGCAATACAAATTTATTGAAAGGAAAACTAGGAGAAATGTGCATGCATTGAAGAGTGTACTATATATATATATATATATATATATATATATTTTTTTTTTTTATTATTTGCCTTGATGTACACTTCACATTTTTATGACCCATTTTCATATCTGGCCCCTATGGCACGTTCAGGGCCTGCAGAAAGAGTCTGCAGAAAGGCTCTTTATTCATTATATGCATGGTGGTGGCCATAGTTACAATCACTTTGTATATCTTTGTATATCTTTGCAAAGCTTGGGGCCCAGCAAGATAATTTTTCAAGTCAGAGCTGTAACCTGGCCACCATATGCTCACAGAAAATGGGTTGATGATGCAGGGCCAGTGGTTGGGACCAGAGGAGGACAAGGAGTGCAGTGTTGGAGTGTTGAGAGGTTGGGCTTTAAAACAGAACTAAACCCTCCTATTCTTTACAGCCAAGGAAGTTGCCATCTTAGCCTCTGTTTGATCTGCAGTTGCTGCAGATGTGAACAGTGGTGGTCAGTGGTGACACCAGCCATTGGGGGGCTTGACAGTTTGGTTGAAAGCACAAGCAACTGTGACAGTTATTACTCATGCCTTGAATGTAAGTAGTAACAGTTAGATCAATAGGTTTAGTTCCGCTTTAATAAACCATAGATCCTGTATAACATAGAAATGTCATTAATCAAAATAATGAGTCAGGTACCCTGCTTCCTTTGCCTGCAACGCTCTCAGACTCCAAATGTGCCCTCATCTGCTGATTTGTAACCTTCAGTGCAGGATCTCTCTGCAGTTGACGCATACTGTGTCTGGCCTCCGATTTGTCATGTTTTCTGGTGATTGGAGTGCTTCTTTACATGTCCTTTGCCTGTAACCCTGATGACTTGACCTGTCAACTCTCAGTAGTCCGGTGGATAATTACACTTCTTCCCTTAGGCCAGTACAATTGTTGGCAAAGCAGCCATGCCTTAATGGAAGTTGACCTTGGATAATGTGAAATGGTACAGAATCTAAGTGTACAAAAACCTGCATACATCTAAATAAAAGAGGGTGTTCAACTCTCCGGAAAAAATGTAGGCATGCACCATTCATGTATTTACTATTTCAGTTGGAAAGACTTTTATTATAATTTGGAAGGTTATGTTTAGTCCATCCTACTGCTTTGACATAAATCCTAGTACCAATTAAAACAGAATAGCAAAAAAACAAAAAAAAAAAAAGCATACACACCTAGATGGCTGCAGAACTGGTCCTAGTTGAGGCTGTCCCTTGCCGGCTCTAACCGAGAACTGAGCAATCAAACACCGATGATCACTCAGTTCTCCCCTCCACTCTGAGAAGAGAGTGGAGACTGTCAGTCACCGGCTCTTTGCTCTGTCAACTCACTCACCCAGAGCTCTGTACTTGGCTCAGGCTCTCAGCGGCATGACTGCTGGTCCAGGAATCTGGGTGGATCCCTACTTTAAAGTTGAGATCTTTCCTGACCCTGGACCAGTTGAGGTCAAGATCGGGCTTTAGTCTGCTGCCAGCTAAAAATGGGTGTGACCCCGCTCTATTTTACATGGCCTACCACTTCGTGATTTTATGTGGCTGTTGTTCCCAATTGCTTCCACTTTGTTATAATAGCACTAACAGTTGATGTAGAACATTTAATAGCAAGGAAATTTCACAGATGGACTTATTGCACAGGTGGCAGCCTATCACGGTACCACGCTTGAATTCCCTGAGCTCCTGACAGCGACCCATTCTTTCACAAATGCTTGTAGAAGTCTGCATGCCTAGGTGCTTGATTTTATACACCTGTGGCCATGGATGTGATTGGAACTCCTGAATCCAATGATTTGGAGGGCTGGCCCAATACTTTTGGCAATATAGTGTATGTGTGGCTGAAAAATCGGTTGGCTTCAATGCTTTAACGTTACACCTGGGCATCCATGGGTGGCAGAGCTTTCTGTACTGACAGCATGTTCAATGTGCACTCCCAGCAATGTTACTGAGCTGTAACTTTCAGTTTCTACTAATGATCAGGAGACAGCGTAACCAGCTCCCAAACATGTGACCACTGTGGCAGCTAATACAGTGGTCGCAAGATCGGCTGGGCTTTCCTGCCCTGGTGTAAAGACCCTGTTTAAAGGGACACAGGAGCTTGGTGGAAAGGGATAATTAGCTAAAACACAGTATTCTGTAAAATTTTTAATTAAAAATGCTTGTTTTCAGTTTTTTATCCTTTTTTTGCATCTCAGTGCTGCTGATCCCTTGCAACATTTTTCAGTTTTGAAACATATTTAAAATTAATTTTAAAATTGTATGACCCCCTTCCCACCCTGCCCCAGCATCCTTTTAACAGGGTGTGTACACACAGGGGCAGGAAGGATCAGCTAATCACATAACCACTGTGATTAGCTGTCACATGATCGGGGACCAGTCCCCTCACTCCAGATCAGGGGCGGACTGACCATTTGGAAACTCGGGCACTGCCCGAGGGCCCAGGGTCAGTAGGGGGCCCTATGAGATTCTCCTGGTACCTTTTCATAGGCTTTTTTGAGTTTGGGCAAGGATACAGGGGCCCTATGATCCCCTATTACCCGGGGGCCCCATGAGTTGTCAGTCCGCCCCTGCTCCAGATCATTAGTCTTTGACAGCTTGACCATTATGCTGGAAGTTTGCAGGGAGTGGGCACTGAGCAGAGTTGTCTGCCATCTATGGATGCATATGTACAGCATGTAGACGTTAGAGCCCACCAACTTTGCCACCACATTACAATGCCACCAAAAGGTTAACCTGTTAGCTCTTATATGAGTTTTTAGTGTTTGGGTATTACATAGATTTTAAGCCTTTGCCATTATTTATTACAGGTACCTATTTAGCATCGTCAATGTACGCAGCACTTTACATACTGTATACTGTATATTATATGAGAGGCATTCACGTCAAAGTGGGACCTTTGAGTTTATATAATAAAAGAACACATTTTAAAGAGAGGAAACTGCATTTATTTTTTCGACATACTCCTCTGCCACATTGATACACTTATCTCAATGTTTATCTAATGCCTGGTACGCTTCTGCCTAGAAAGAGTTGTCAGTACGATTGAACTATCCTGGGACAGCCTGCTTCACTTTGTCATCATTGTGTTCACCGTTCCAACAGAAAGATTTGTCTCTTGTGCAATTTCACTACAGGTTATTCATCAATTATCCAGGATCAAGCATTCCACGTGCTGAATGTTCACAGGAATGATTGCTGTGGACTGGGAACCACCACGGCCGGGATCATCACTGATGGACATACGGCCATCTCTTTGAAATAATTACATCATTCAAACATCTTACTATGGCTAAGCGTTTCATCATCATACTGTGCTTGAAGTCTACTGTTGTCTGCCATCTTGATTAATGGTCTCTGGACTGACCCACGACATGTGTGCCACATATCAGTAATAGGACACACTTGCCACTTACTACTACGTGTAGTTTTTATACCTGTAAAATTAAAAGTCCTGGTTTGACCTGAAACGCTCCTCATACATTCACATTGCTGCTCTCAAGGAGCATACAATCTAAGGTTCCTAACTCACATTCATACACACGCATGTACTAGGTGCAATTTGGACAGACACCAATTAACCTACCAGCATGTCTTTTGAGTGGGGGGGGGGGTGTTAGGGTGCTAATGTCATCCAAAGCAGCCCTGGAAAAATACATCAAACATGCCTGTGTGAGATGAAAGAACTGTGAAGCCTGAGGATGGGGGGACTGTGAAAACTTAGGATGGGGGGAAAACTTTGAGGACTGAGGATGAAGGGGGGTGGAACTGTGCAGATATTCTCATTCCTGCTCTACATACACTATATTGTACATTACATACTTCTCACCAACAGTTGCTGGTTGCTAAGCAGTCCCTATTTTAATGAAGTTCTTCCATAAGGAAGGCTCAGATAAAATATTAACTCTCTGAGGATGGGAGTGGGGAACTGTGAAGCCTGAATATTGGGGGGCTGTGAAGCCTGGAGATGGGGAAGGGGACTGTGAAGCCTGAGGATTGGGGGGACTGTGAAGCCTGAAGATGGGGTAACTGTGAAGCCTAAGGATGGGGGGACTGTGAAGCCTGAGGGTTGGAGGGACTGTGAAGCCTGAAGATGGGGAGGGGGACTGTGAAGCCTGAGGATTGGGGGGACTGTGAAGCCTGAAGATGGGGGGGACTGTGAAGCCTGAGGATGGGAGGACTGTGAAGCTGAAGATGGGGAGGGGGACGGTGAAGCCTGAGGATGGGGGGACTGTGAAGCCTGAAGATGGGGAGGGCGACTGTAAAGTCTGAGGATAGGGGGGACTGTGAAGCCTGAAGATAGGGTGACTGTGAAGTCTAAGGATGGGGGACTGCAAGACCTGAGGATTGGGGGGACTGTGAAGCCTGAAGATGGGGGGACTGTGAAGCCTGAGGATGGGGGGACTGTGAAGCCTGAAGATGGGGGGACTGTGAAGCCTGAGAATGGTGGGACTATGAAGCCCGAGGGGGGCTGAGCATACATTCTCACACATACACTATATTGTACATTACATAATTTTTAACAAAGTGTTCATTGTCCCAACCGTTGCTGATAGTTGAGCAGAGAATATTTTAATGAAGGGCTTCTGTCTCAGATAAAATATTAGCTATCTGACTATTTTCAGTGTACACCAATCGTGTTATGGAAGAGTTTATTAAAAAAAAATGATTGTGCGGAGGCCTGTGAGACTTTTGCTTGTGGCACAGCAATCTAACCATTTATGGGTACAAGAAGGCTTTTGTTTTAGTTAACCACGCCCCTTTAATCCCTTCTCACTGTTGACGCAATTTGGACGCACCTTGGCATTTGCTATGGTATGCTTTACGCACCCCATGACTACTCTACTTAGGGTTCCCAAACACGGCTCAAGTCTTTTACATTCCTAGCAACACCCCAACCACAATGAAAACCATTCCCACTTTGCCACAGTGCTCTAAGCAGGCCATGTTTATTTTTTTAATCAAGTAATGGGGCCCAGCTTATGATCTTGCACTGGGCCATTGATGTCATAAAACGCCCCTTCCATGACACAACACTCAGCCACTGGCTAGTCTGTTATAGCTGCCATTGTAGCACGCCAGCACCATTGAGGACCACAGAAAAGTTGTTCTTAAAAACCTTCAGTTCTTCGAGAACCTTCACTGCAATATGTTTCAGGTGAACTCTAGACAGATATAAAAACACAAATGAACGCAGCATTATAATCATTACTACATCATTAATAGTGATGTGCTGGATGTTCGACTCGAGTAACGTTCGAGTAAATTCCAACAGACGAATGTTAAAGGTGTTTGGCAGGCTGTTCGCCCACCGTGCCCCACAATGCATTGCGCTCTCACAGTACATTGTGATTTGCCAAAGCAATGCACTTAACCATAGGTTCAATCAGAGCTCAATTGGGTAGAGTTAGTGGTGCCATCACCACTAGCTCTGGCCAATTGTTTACATCTGACAGGCAAATGTCAGATTACGGTAAGTGCTCAGCCGGTGGGGATGGGCCGCTTGGCGCTGTTTAAAAAAAAAATTCTGTGAGTCAGCGTCATTGTGGCAATGCTGGATGCCATGATTGACAATGGATTACAATGATGAAACCATTTTTTTGGCTTTTTTTTTCTTTTAAAGGACTTGTCAAAAACATTTGTTTTGTTTTTTCAAAAAAGGAATATTTCAAAAGACTGGTCTCTCTGTTTTTTACTAAATGCAACCCTTTAGGGAATGGGTACCCCTTACTCATTCACAGGGGGGGCACCCCCTGATGCTAATGATCTCCCCGGCCTGCAGACCCCCACAACCACCGGGTCAGGGTAGTGGGTAAGAGGCCCTTGTTTACATCGGCCTGGCAAGTTGCAGGAAGGGGGGGAGCTCTATTGTCCCCCCCCTTCCTGCCGCCCTGCCAGGCCTGTGCTTGGATCAAGGGTCTGGTAGGAATTTAGGGGGGACCCCACGCATATTTTCTATTATTTTTTGAGGGTGGAGTTCCCCTTAAAATCCTACCAGGCCCTTTAAAAATGAGGGAAATGCTTTTAGGGGGAACCCCACCCACTTTTTTAAAACATATATTGCTGTGGGGTCCCTCCTAACCTTCCTACTAGACTTAAATCATCTGGTATGGATTAGGAGGGGCCTCACACTGTGTTGTTTTTTTTTCATAAAAATGTCATTTAAAAAAAAAAAAAACATGTCAGTCCTGTTGCAGCAGGTTCTTTACATTCTACGGATGTTCAACCTTGCAGGTAGTTTAAGGGGACCCCTCAGGCATGATATTTAAAGATTTTTTTTTTACTTTAAGCAATGAAAAATGACTGCCCCTTTAAAAATGGTACTTTTTGAATTTTTTTTCACTGATTCATGTCCCTCAGGGCAGTACCCCAATCCCCATACCCCTTTTATGGCCAATAACTTGCATATAAGCCTTCAAAATGGGCACTTTTCAATTATAAGTTTGAGTTCCATGCATTGAGTTTGAAGTTCGCGTTCGAACATTCATTAGGTTTGAACGTTCGACTGCAAACCAAACTGGGGTGTTTGGCCCATCACTAATCATTACATGTATTTTTGAAATACAAGCAGTGTAAGTATTTGAATATGACCTGGTATCAGACTCTTGAGGTCCATGTACAGCAGGGCTAGAGTGTGTGAGGAAGAAGCAGTACAAAGAGCCAATCAGCTCATGTGTTGACTTGCATTGAGTTTGAAGTTCGCAGTCGAACATTCATTAGGTTCGAATGTTCGACTGCAAACCAAACACTGGGGTGTTTGACCCATCACTAATCATTAAATGTATTTTTGAAATACAAGCCCTCTAAGTACTTGAATATGACCTGGTATGAGACTCTTGAGGTCCATGTACAGCAGGGCTGGAGTGTGAGTGGAAGAAGCAGTACAAAGATCCAATCAGCTCATGTGTTGTCAAAAAGCATACAGATAAGAAGAGAGAGCAGAGTGACAGAGAGAAGAGTCCATCATTGTGCTGCTCCTCCTTTCACTGTTCAGTCACAGGCTGGGCTCAGTGGAATTGGGTTGGATAATGCTGGTCAAATTGAGGACATCTAGTGGCAGATTAAAGTACTGCTGGGTAATCTCTGGATTGAGAGTGAATATTGCAGAAAAAAATGTTTTTTTTTTCTTTTTATCTTTTAATTCCGTTCATTTTTAATGTGTTATTCTTGCTTGGAGTTCCACTTTAACTACTTTACGGCATGTGTGCTCTACATAGAATTGAGAAAAAAGGAATCTTTAAAGCATACCAAATATGTTACACGTATAAAGTGTGAAAAAGGTGAACTTGGGCTTTAAAAAAAAGACTATTGGACCCTGTAGGACTGTATATAGTCAGGATGTTAAAATGTTTATCCATAATGTAAGGTATTTTTCTTTATTTCAATGGTTTCCAGACTAAAACTGTGTGTGTGGTATGGTCCCCACAGGAGGCGAAATTTCAATATGCACAGTTAAATCCTTTCTGCCTTCTGAAAATGCAAGAGCTCCTTTCTAATTTGTTGTCCCCTTGAGGCTCACTTCTGATTGCCTGTTACTGCAGGTTCCAGGTTACAACTTGCTCCATCTCCTGCACCATGCCCTAGATTGAGGAAGACCAAACAAAGAGCCATACATGGGCCTGTTTGGCGTTACATTTAGGTCGATAGAACCATATTTGTGTCCCTTTACTGTTTTCTTTAGTGTCTGCGGGTAGTTTTCCCAAAGCTATTGAGACAATATTCATGTTGATTTTCTGCTAATGGAAAAAGCAGCTTCCTAAGCAGCAGTCAGCTGTGAATTTCTGGGATCGTGAGCAGCCAGTCATTAAACCAGATGGTAGAATCAGTGGATTGTTGCAGAAGCTGGTAGAGGGAGCAGATAGATGAGTAGCAGACACACGTCCGTTTTGGAGCCCCCACAGAGAACTTGTTTTAAATCTGAACAACTAAATACAAAAATGAAAATGGTCTTTCTGTCCATCCAGTCCTGAGATTTATACAGTTCTCTTACATAGCAAAATCCTGTTTGGCCAGGGAAAGGTCCGATCTTTCACTTTCACTGACAGGTCTACAGCCCACCCCTGACCTGTGACTGGACAGTGAAGGGAGAAGCAGCACACTAATGAGTTTATCTCTCTGTCACTTAGCTGATATCTCCAATGAGTATGCTCCTTACACTGCAACACACCTGATTGGCTCCTTGTGCTGCTTTTTTTCTGGTCTCTGCTTTACAGTAGACTCCCGGAGGCAGAGATACCAAAGCTGGCCATACATCAGTAGAATTTAATTTAAAATTTTTGTTTTTGGATTGTTTGCTCAATTTTCTACCTGTTAAGGGGGTCAAATCAATGTCCATTTTCGACTATAGTGATGAGAAGAATTGAAGGAATAGGATGGAAAATTAACTGTTGAATTTCTAACTGTGCATGTGGTTTACATTTGGGGGAAATCATACATATTGTAATGAAGCCTATTTGATACGGCCGGCATTCCATTCAAACAGCAGGTCTGGATCAAATTTGAAGGGCTTTCAAACAATATAATTTGACTCAATGATTGCAATAAAATAAAGGGGTTAAAGAATGATTTTTCTACAAATGTTCAAACAAAGATCTGTGTATGTCCAGCTCCAGTCAAACTCAGGTACTTATACACTTGCATTAAAAAAATACACTTAGGGCTCAAATCCACACAGCTAGCCAGGAGGGGCAGTAAAAACAGGCTATGCCAAGGCCACAGCTATTTTAACTTGGACTGCAAAGTTTGATTGGTGAATCTGCCCTCTGAAAAGTGATCTATCGTGAAGCCCTAATGATGTGATACTGGCATGTTCATTATTACAGACCTGCTTTAATTTCTATCTTGAAATCTGTGTGAAGTTTAGCTTTAAGCACATGTGAAAAAACAGCAAACAGGAGGCGTGCACCCCTAGTGCATTATGCAAGGTTTATTAAAGGTAAAAAGGGATGACAACATACTTACAAACATGTCAGAAATGTAAAGCTTAGTAGAACGATAGAGATGGCCAAAACAATGGCGGGGTATCCGACTGTCAGTGTGGCTGGCTAGTTGACGCGTTTCGGGGACAACTCCCTTTCCTTAGAGCTGAACTCATCCCTGAAACGCGTCAGATAGCTGACCACACTGACAGTTGGACACCCCGCCATTATTATGGCCATCTCTATCGTTCTACTAAGCTTTACATTTATACTATGTTTGTGAGCCCTGAAGAAGTCACGTGGTAGCTTGACGCAATACATCGGACTAGAGCTTGGTGACGTCATTACGTACAGACAGCAATAGCCATCTTGGGACTCCTTGTATGTACACCTGACTGTGGGTTACACAGTATATGCCTGATGGGTCTGTGACCCTTGTTTTTATTGTGAGTAGCCTCTTGGCATTGTGATTTTTACCAATAAATACTAAATTACTACACTATGGAAGTTCTCTTTCTGACTTCTCTTTGAGCAATTGAAGATCCCCTTAAAGGTGTGTTTTGACCGTTTTTTCTCGGTGAGAGCTGTTTCCTGTGTCCAGTCAGAGGGAGAGATCCATCCTGCCTGGGATCAACCGGTGATATTAATTACTTAGATTCTTTGAGGGTCAAATTTGTGAGGTGAACGCACATGCCAGAAGGTGACAGATAGACTGGCACCATTTATATGAGCACGCAATATAAAGTTGAAGAATTGAAAAATCTGGATATTATTAATTTTTAATGCATATAATTTTTATTTTTTACACTTGGGACTTTTTGTTATTTATACAGTTGTGTTCAAAATAATAGCAGTGTGTTGAAAAAAGTGAATAAAGCTCAAAATCCTTCTAATAGCTTTTATTTACATATACACAAATGCATTGGGAACACTACACATTCTATTCCAAATCAAAACATGAAGAAAAATATATCAAATTTGTGTTGTTCCTCTAAAAAAAAATTGAAGAAAAGTGAATATTAGACTGTTCAAAAAAATAGCAGTGTTTGTATTCTTTTTTACAAACTCAAACATTCAGTATATAAACTGAAAAAAGTTTTTTTAGATTTTGCTTTCCTTTGAATCACTTAATGAATATTTCGTTGTATAAGCACTGTTTCTGAGAACTGCTGTACATCTGTGTTGCATGGAGTCAACCAACTTCTGGCACCTGTGAACAGGTATTCCAGCCCAGGATGATTGGACTACATTCCACAGTTCTTCTCTATTTCTTGGTTTTGCCTCAGAAACTGCATTTTTGATGTCACCCCACAAGTTTTCTATTGGATTAAGATCCGGGGATTGGGCTGGCCACTCCATAACGTCAATCTTGTTGGTCTGGAACCAAGATGTTGCACGTTTACTGGTGTGTTTGGGGTCGTTGTCTTGTTGGAACACCCATTTCAAGGGCATTTCCTCTTCAGCATAAGGCAGCATGACCTCTTCAAGTATTCCGATGTATTCAAACTGATCCATGATCCCTGGTATGCGATAAATAGGCCCAACACCGTAGTATGAGAAAGATCTCCATATCATGATGCTTGCGCAACCATGCTTCACTGTCTTCACAGTGTACTGTGGCTTGAATTCAGTGTTTGGGGTCGTCTGACAAACTGTCTCCTGCCACTAGACCCAAAAAGAACAATCTTACTTTCATCAGTCCACAAAATGTTGCGCCATTTCTCTTTAGGCCAATCAATGTGCTCTTTGGCAAATTGTAACCTCTTCAGCACATGTCTTTTTTTCAACAGTGGTACTTTGCGGGGGCTTCTTGCAGATAGCTTGGCTTCACATAGGCGTCTTCTAATTGTAACAGTACTCACAGGTAACTTTAGGCCAGGGGCGGACTGACAACTCATGGGGACCCTGGGCAATAGGGGATAATGGGGCCCCTATGTCCTTGCCCAAACTCAAAAAAGCCTATGAAAAAGGTACCAGGGGCATCTCATGGGGCCCCCTAGTGACCCCGGGCCCTCGGGCAGTGCCCGAGTTTCCAAATGGTCAGTCCGCCCCTGCTTGAGACCTTCTTTGATCTTCCTGGAGCTGATTGTTGGCTGAGTCCTTGCCATTTTGGCTATTCTTCTATCCATTCGAATGGTAGTTTTTTGCTTTCTTCTACATCTTTCAGGTTTTGGTTGCCATTTTAAAGCATTTGCGATCATTTTATCTAAGCAGCCTATCTTTTTCTGCACTTTTATATATGTTTTCCCCTCTCCAATCAACTTTTTAATCAAGGTACGCTGTTCTTTTGAACAATGTCTGGAACGACCCATTTTCCTCAGAATTTCAGAGAGAAATGCACTGTAACCAGCATGTACAACATTTGCTGCCTTCCTTCCTCAAATAAGGGCAATAATTGCCACCTGTTTTTCAAAGAATGAATGACCTCACTAATAGAACTCCACACTGCTATTATTTTGAACATGCCCCTTTCAATTAGTGATTTAATTACACAGAATCAGCAGCATGCATGTCATGACTGTTGGGTCTGTTGGATTTCTATTGCTCTACTACACCTGCTAGTAAATTATTTGCCATGTAGAAATATCATTTCTACCAAAAACAGTGATTGATCAGGTTAGTGATGTCTGACTGCTATTATTTTGAACAACTGTATATGTCACGGTGTATAATTTGGTCAATTGGATTGCAATTATTATCAACTTGTTGGATTATGCTACACTTTATATATCTATAATTAAGTATATTGATTATACACAGGGTCACATTATTTATTCACAATAATATGGTTTGGCATCATTTAATTTATTCATAGTACACACAGCGCTACACCATTTTAACCAAATTGTTTTTCATCATATCATAGCCGGGTGTTAGCAGCTACTTCATTTCCTGAGTGGATATTTGGCAGCGCATGAGTCCACCCCTATCTAATAGTGTATAGAATTATCACTGATCGCTGTATTAATGTTACTGAAGTCAGTGGCAGTTAGCCAGTTCCTTTCAGCATCAGTTAGTGTCATATTGCTTGCTGCACTATCGCAGTCCCGTTATAATTCGCTGATCACCGCCATTAATAATATAAATTTCAAGTAAACCAACCAATATACACTTATTCGGATTTTTTTTTAAACAAAGATTGTTTTTATCTCCAAAAGATTTCAGTCTTTTTCTATTTTTTTTTTGGGTACAGCATTGCATGACTGCATAATTACCAGTTAAAGTAGCGCAGTGCTAAATATAAAAAAATGGCCTGGTTATGAAGGGGGAAAAACTTCCAGTGCTGAAGTTGGTGGATTAAAAAGTTAATTTGAGACCTCGGACCATTCGACCAGATTTAGGAAAATTACATGGTGACAACCCAGGCAAAAAAAAAAGAAAAAATACTTGGTATAAACCAACAGTTGAACTGTCTCATCTGCTATAGAACCTGTATTTTGTCCACATTTGATTTTTTTTTAAGTAACAAATATGTCACACTTACTGCTCTGTGCAATGGTTTTGCACAGAGTAGCCTTGATCTTCCTCTTCTTGGGTCCCATGCTCATTGCTCCTCCCCTCCTTGGCTAAGTGCCCCCATTGCAAGCCTTTTGCTCTGGGGGCACCCAATGGGCTCTCTCCTGAGCTGGTTCCGCCACCCACTCCCCCTTCAACAGCTGTGATTTACAATACACATTGCTGCAGCTCTGTATTCATTATTAAATTGGTAAATGTTTTTTCTTAATTGCTTCACGACTGGCAGCCCACAAAGTGCTGCAGGCGGATGGATGGACGGCCTGTACAGACTCAGCGACATACAGGTACATTGTAGGCCTCTTCCGGGTACAGGGCACGCAAACGCACGCCCATTCACCGACTCTCGCTGGGATTGTACACAGCGGGAGTTGGTCAGCAGGTCCCTTCCAGTATGGCATGGACCTGCTAACTGGCTGCGTCCAATCACAGCCCAGAGCCCTGTGTTGACAAGGTCTTTGTTTGTTCTGCCTGCAAAGCAAGTAGAAGGAAAATTATGATTTTGAGTAAAAAGCAGCAAAAGATTTATACATTTTTGCCCTTTAACTGTTCCTGCAGTACCATTACTCCAGTCAATTTCGGGGCAGTTAAAATCCCCCATTATTATCACTTTAATTGTAACAGAGTGGTGTCATCCTCATGGCCGTGTTGTGTGATAAATCTGTGCAGAACTGGATGGGCAGAAATACAAATCTCTTTGGCAGGTAAATCAGCTCATACATCTGTATTTTGTCTGTGTATTAAAATGTTTTCCTAGAGTTCAGCCTTAAAGTGAAACTAAAGTCCACAATACTTACCTTAGCTCCAACAGCCCGTCACTAGGTCCCTTACCAGTACCAGCATCCTCTCCCCATCTTCTTCTGGGTGCCAGTCTTTGTCATATTGATTGGCCAGCGCAGGATGACATAATTCCCAAGCATGCGCAAAAGTACAGTCACCCCGACACATGGGCACAGTGCTGGAATGCATGCACAGCTCAGTATACATTCTAAGGACTGAGAGCTGACAGGTAGGTTTATTTTATTACAAAAGAAAAGAAGCATTGCATGTCTTATCTGTGATAAACAGCATGCCTGCTCACAATTAAAAGACAAAAAAAAGAGTTTAGTTCCGCTTTAGGGATTTAAAATGCTGGCTGAAACACATTGCATATGATCCAGTCCATAACCATCCATCAGTTTACTGACAGCTGAAAAAATGCTGTCTTTTTAAAATTGATACAACTTATTACATGCCTATCCGTATTATCTCTAAACATGGATCTATAGAAGATTTATAAAGCAGAAATGATCTGTTTGCCTACTTTATTGTTTAATTTTGATTAGAGTATTTGAATTGATATATTTGTTGTTTTATTGTAAAGTCCTATAATCTATCTCACTTTAATATGATGTACAAAATGTGCTTTGTACTGTATATCCCAAATTGTTACAGACAGCCTGTACAGAAAGAAATATGGTGGCCATTACTGACTTCCTTGTAAAAAAGCTAGCTGTCTGGCTGTCTCTGGCTTCAATACTTTGAGAAGCTGTCCTGAAATAAATACGCAGTTCGGGAAAGTCAGAATTCTGAATATAAACAATTGATCCAAGTCAAAGAAAGCAACTGAATCAGTATGACAGCCAGGTTAGTAGTATTTCTATACAAAGACGTCAGCAATGGTGGCCATCATATCTGCTCATCCTGTTGTTTATCAAGTTTTCATTCACCACATCCCCTCGGGCAGATGTCATATGATGTCCTCGGATTGAAGTGGTTATATCGGGATAATGCTTGCAGCTGCAGGCATCAAACCCTATCAAACCTTTCAGCCAGTCATTCCCTGTAATGTAGAAGTGATTTGAGTGTCTATACTGTAGCAATTGTGCACACAGAGATGGACGCAGTCATCCATCTTGCTAAAGACCCTCCATCTTGTATCTCTCTCTCCCTCCTATAATCCCCCCTCCCTCTCTGTTGAGTGACATGTGGTCTGTATGATGCTGAGAGATCACAGGCATCAGGCCCCAGCTGGAGAGCTTCATGGTTATAAACCCCAATTAGCCTGGCCCCAGTATATCTGTGAGACTCTTGCTTGGAAAGGATCGTAAAGCCATAAACCAGTCCTTCACTGGGCTTCAAAGACATTCCAGCTAGCCGTAAAACAGACTCACATTTAAAAACCCACTTTTCCATATAATTTTATATCTTAAGGTAGGAAATTATTACATAAACATAAAGCATATATTCGGATAGCTCAGTTTAATACAAGTCGCCTGATATCTTACATCCCCTAGTTGAAGTCTACAGGAGAGCAGAAAGCATATAGTTCCAGTTGAAATAGTGAACTATGCCATGTTTGATATCTAGACGTTCAGCAGATGATTCTGCATATTAATCTACCCGTGGATAGAATAGAATGTTACATGTACAGTACCTAGGGAAGGTTATTGCCCTGGAATAACTTGTGAGGGATTTTGGTTCTAGCCTGAGTCCTCCACCTACAACACCCTCCCCAAATGAGGCGATTGGTTCTCTGCTTCAAGGAGACACCATGCTGAGTTCCTAGAAAAAGGCTGTTATGCTTGGAGCAGAGAGAGTTAAGTTGAGTTAAAGAATGCTCCCTTTTTAACATCGGAACCAACTTCGGAGAAAAGGCACCCTTTTGCTCTGAAACTTGATCTGCTTAAACCAAGGCTGATGGCAAGTATTTACCTCTCTAAACTTCCTTCTGTTATTTCTTTGCTGTGTTATTGCTCTCTGTATGTATGTATATATATATATATATATATATATATATGCTACATCTTTTTCTGTAAATATTGTTATTGCACCCTTTTGACCTTTTTAGTAATAAATCCTATTATCTGAAAAGTGTTGAACTGTTTCTAAAGCTCTTTAACGCAAACTAAGAATCCCTGTCTCTGAAGAGCGCTACTGTGTGTTTTTAAAACCTCTATATATCTCTGCCTGCGGTGACAGTGGTATACAGATGATTATTCAAACATCATAGTGTTATTGCTAATATTAGCGAGTTTCCTCCTACTCTGTAGAAAAAGGTGGTGGTGGCAGTGTGAAGGATTAATTGCGTAATTAACCTTACGCACGTAACAGCGTGGTTTTAGATTGGCTAGTCCTTTGGTCACAAGTTGGTGAGAAGTGCTGGGGATCGTCACATATACAACCACCCGATCACTTCTACAGGTGGTGGAAGGAGGTGCCCCCCACTCCCAATGCCCCCTTTCCCAGGCTTTCCTGCCTGATCACAGAGCCCAGGCCTGCCCTAAGGCTGCAGATCTGCACAAAAATCCGTGAAGCTGCACCACCCACACAGAAGAATGCAGACCCGCGGGCGGGTGCCATTAATTTTAATGGCACACAACCCGCACTGGAAATCTCAACTGTACTGGGAACTGAGGTTCTCATGCGGGCTGCGTTTTCAGAAGAAGTGCAGGGACATCTTCCTGCGTGTCCTGGAGCATGGGAGTCCATTCAAATGAATGGGCTCTCATGCTCGCGCAAAATGCGGACTGAAGGAGTGCGGATATGTGAACCAGATTTTGTCACTTCTGTTTGCAGTCTTCTGTTTATCGGTTTTTACAAGCATCGGATCAAACTGATCTCAGTGTGATCAAATGCTTTCAAGGGAGAGACATGGGATCTGATAGACCCCATATCTCTCT